GATCCAATCTTAGATAGAGCTTGACTTATTGCAAAAATCTTCAAAATTTTGATTTTGTTCCATCATACTTCTCAAGCATACTAATCCTAGTCTTGATCATACTTATACAAACAAAACTCCCTGAATTTGGTTGTGAAGTTGATCTACTAGCTTCTTTTAACAATACAACTTCTTGCCACAGACTCTAAACTTTTTCCATAGGCGTAGGCATTGTACCTCCATGATTTATATTAAAAATATATGAAATTTTCACTCTTAGAGTATTGACAAGCTCATGAAGATCTACAATAGTTGAAAATCTATTCATACTTCTGCTAAGAGTAGCATCCATAATCTTTCCTTCCATAGATAACTCAAACAAATTCAAAAGGTTAAATTAGAAGAGTATAATCTGCAACCTCTAATAAAATTTTCTAGAAAGAAGGTTAATCCACTCTCTTTAAGGAAAAGATCAATGTTAAAAAATAAGATTTTTTTTAAAAGATAGGTAATTTGTAACCTTCAAAATACAACAATAGAAGTGGAGTAATCCACTCACTTCTAAAACAAGCTAGAAATAATATGTTAGCATTCTTATCAAATTGTTAAGGACATGAATCTTAAAGAAAGAAAATCCTCAACACACTCTCATATCATTGAAAGGAACTAGAAAGTCACTTAAAGATGATATAATATTGAACTAAAATAGCTATTGCTAAAAACAAGAAGACTAGAAAGTCTTGAAACAAGACTAATGACCAAAAAGGCATTGACAAGAGTGAAGAAGGCCTCACACTTGCCTCTATATATACTCTGAACTAAGAGCTACGTGGTGATGTCTTATAGGACCTCCAAAACACGTTGACTTTACAAGTCACATATCTTAATTTATAAGGCAAGTTTTCTATATGTGTGCCACATAATTAGCTTCTTTCGCAAGCTATCAATACATGATTAACTTGTTGAATAAGTTTCTAACCTATTAATCAACTACAAATACATGTATAGTCAAGGAGCATCTATGAAGCTTCTAAGAAGCTTTTCTAAAAGGTCTTATGAAATTAACTTATTTTTATCTATTTTTACCTATTCCTACCTAATCATATAACTATTTACTAAAATACCTAGGTATGTCTGTGACACCAATAAGACCTTATCATGCATGATGTTGCTTGTGTAGGAATAAAATCCTGTAAGACAACAATCTCATATTCTTCTAAAAAGGAATAAAGCCAATATAAGACCCAAATTCCAAAAAAAAGACTATAAATTCTCTAACCAATGTTTTAGAAATGAAACAAAGCAAAAATATAAAAATAAACCACTTTTATAATAAAAAACATAGACTTAGCAATTGTTGAATAGAAAACCAAGTAGTATGTAATAATTGTGGACATAATCACTCCACAAATGTTTGTAGACTATCTAGTAAGATAATTCTTTTAAAATTCTTATACAAATTTTATCTACAACAAGCATATAGTAACATGGGAGACAAGAAATTCCACCTTTAACAACATTTGAAGCCACACAATCTTATCTATGATTATAATAATCTATTTGGTCTAAATACCAATAGAAGATATATTTTCTTTAACCAAGGTCAAATCCACAAAACCAATTGAAACAAGACCAAGGCTCATAAGACATAATGTATATAGCAATATCTAGTGACTATATAATGTACAACCTGTAATGCATCAACCTTCATCTTCTTATTCTAGTTATATTTTTTATGAAGTGTCTTTTTATAAGAAAGTTGAATAAGTCAACATTCTAACTTTGGTAGTCATAAGTTAGTCAAAATATTCAAGCTTTATTTTTGTTATCTTAATTCAAAATAAAAGCATATCAAATGATTCTTTTGACTTTTCAAATCTCAATGAGGCTATTAAATATGCAGTATTAAACACCAAAAGCACCAATAATATACCTCAAGAGCCAAAATCTATAATAAAGGTTTTACCAATTTATGTAAGTAGATGTATTAAGTTTTAAATAGAAGTATCTAAAAAAAATAAGAAAAATCTAAAATTATATAATTAGAATTAAACCATTATTGCAATCTAAGTGCAAAGTAATAGCAAAGTTTCATGACTTACGAACCAATTTGAATAGATTTGTGATATACATTACAATTTTTCAATTATTAGAGGTTTTATCAATAATTAGAAAGGCTCTTAAGATAGAAATCTTTATCAAAAGGTATCAAAAGTCTAAAATTAGACTATTGGATTCTATCAAAGTTTTTCAAAGATTAAATAAAGTCAAGATAGTTGACATTGAGGTTTCTATAGTTAATAAAATTCTACCGTATATAGTAGTAGATAGTAGTATTAGCTTGAACATTATACAAGTCTAAAATATAGAAAAACTAAAACTAAATATTATTAGATCTCTTATATTTATAATCAAAATAACTAATAAAAGCTAAAAAATACCATTGGAAAAAATTAGTTGTTTCATAATAGTAATTTATAGTCACAAATATTCTTTTATCTTCCTTGTCATTTTGATACAAACCAACAAGGATTCTTATTCCTTATTATTAAGACATCATTGGTTGAAAGTTGCAAATACTAAAGTTGATTGAAGTTGCAATAAGCCTCATTACTTATGGTCTACCAAAAAATCTTATTTGATTTATATTTAGCCACAATTGGTGAATTTTGGTCAAAATTCAAGATATTCTTTTGAAAAAGAGCTGCCAACTTCATTAGCAAAGATAGATTCTAAAAAATAGTTAGATTTACAAATCCTAAGACTATAGCTATAGCACAAACAATTACAACTAATGTAATTTCATTAGATTACATGGACCTTAATTTATGTAATTGAAAGGACAATAGAGAGTTTGCTTAATAATCAATTGACAATAATAATTTAAATATTGATGAGGTTATATCAATCAATTTTATAGAAGGCTTTGCCATATGACAAGATAATGATGTAGTGGTTGTCCTAGCCACCTTGGTAGATGACATTACTCACAAAGATGTCTATGAGTTGAATATGGATGGCATCCAAATAAGTTTATTTAATACCTTTTAGTAGATTTTAATTCATATGTAATAAACAATAAATTATACAATTAGCTATTTCATCTTTTAAATAACATAAAAAGAATATAAATTGAAGTTACTATAAAGAATTTATAATAAATTAAAAAATAAAAGATTAAAAAAATGGAGATAATTATAATTTTCTTTAAAAATAACTTGTATATGATGTTTAGGATTTGAGTCTAACAACGAATCACAAGTACTATAAAAAATGCTCTAGAGGGCCTATGAAGCCTTATTCTTATCATTTTGCCTACTTCAAAGACACTACAATCTATTTAAGACTAATGCATCTAATTTTCTACCAATTCTTAGTTACAATAGTTTTTTTTCAAGTAAAAGTTCATTTTTTATAAATTTCACTACTTCATGGTATTTAAAGTACCTAATTAGCGTAGAGAACTATATGAGCCTTCAAATCTTACTTTATTTCTTCAAAGTAATAACCTTCATAATTTGGTAAAATTATTTTTAATTATTATTATAAAAATATATTTTAAAAATTACTAAAAACTACTAAAAATTTCTAAAAAATATTATATTATTTTTAAGAACCTAATATCAACATAAGACAATTTTATCACCCCTTGATAATTGCTTATAGACATGAAATTAATTTAAATTAACAAAGAATTCTTTTGATTTTAAATCATTAAAACGATCATGATTTTCTTTCTTACAATTCTTCTACCCAATAATTATCATGTATAAGTTTTTGACACATAAAATATAAATATAAAGACTATTTTATACATTAGACTTCAAAACTTAAGAAAAAATATTATAAAAATAGAAAAATAAAATAAAATACTATATCAACTAAATTATTTCTTCCAAAACTTACTAAGATTCTATTTTAAAGATTTTTTTTATCTATAAACCTCTTATCACATAAATAATCTTCTAAACTTTTATTGATAAGGGGTTTATAGATTAAAAAAATCATGAATAATTATATAAATGTCATGAATTCACAATTTTTTGTCTTAACAATATTAGTATATTATTTCTAATAAATCCACTATTTATGATGCATTGGTAGAAATTACATTTGATTACAAGGAGAAATATCTCCTAATAAAACTTATTTGGTTGTAGCATCATTAACTATTAGATGAGTTGTATGCTACAATTTTATTGGTTGAGGCAAGTTGTAGACAAAACACCTTGCTGTAGAATTGAGCTTGTTTATATGAGTGGAAATGAACAACAATGATTTCTTATGCTTCAAAGTCCATGTTTGATGTAACTTGTAGATCAGTTAAATCTAGATGACATCCAGTTAAAATTCGAAAAACATATTCCTGTAATAAAAAATAAAATAAAATTTTAAAATTCTAAGTGAGATTTGACGAACTATATGTATGCATGATCAATTTAAACTTGAATGACCAGTAGTTAATGAATGTTAAATGCTGAAATAGTAATGATTAAATGCATTTAAACAAATATTGCATTAACAATTATCTTTGTGGAAAACATTATTAACCATTGTCGTCTAAAATCAAGCTATAAATTAACAAATGTTTCATGTTTTATCCGTAATTTTTTAAGTGAAATTTAAGTCTGAAATAGTTCAGAAGCTTGATTATAAATTATTTGTACACATATTAAAAATAATATATCTTTCTTTGTTCTTTGTTCTTTGTTCTTTTAATACTAGAACACTAAGTTTATTTCAAGGCATCATTAATACTTATTCAATTTCAAGAACTGTTCAAACAAGTACAAATAAACTTGTGAAGGTGAATTCTCAATAATCATATAGCCAATACTTCAAACTCGGTAATGGGTTTGAGAGAAACGCAAAGCGATTCTTTAAAAAGCATTAGACAATCAAAAAGAGTTGTGAATGGCAACTGCAAAATACCTCTCTGAAAACAGACAAGAGATCATCAAAAAACTAACAGACAATCACAATTTCAAAATGCAAGAGATGTCATCCCAGGAAGACTCTAATAATCCAAGAAGAAAGCCTTTGAAATGCATGTGGGTAAAACTCCTGGATTCTACCACATGTACACTTCAACTACCTATGTAATATTTACTACGAAACGTTTATATTACACAGGTCAGCCATCTGCTCTCCGCAATCGAAGGCCCAAGGATGATTGCTGAATATGACTTCAAAATGCAGCACTACCGGCCTATCATTTTTGATACTAAAGCGGCTTGAAGCATCAACATAATATCTGAAAAGGAGATGAACCAATCTACGTATTTACAACATGCAACAGTTATGATCAAGCTAACACTATTGACTAACAATATCCAGCACCATCAGCTATCTCTTAGTGAAGTCTATTCTCAACTGCTTCATTGAAGCATGATGCCAATCAGAACTTCTCAAGTCAAGATATCACAGTGTACCCACTGAATCGCGTAAAAGGATAGATGTAAAAATTGCGTGCATATTCCAGGATACCGCCACACGTCGATATCCTTGATTATAACGAACTAACAGTAGAACATTACCCTTTTGACGTTTTCCTTCAAAGGAGGAAGTGGACGCACGGCAGTATTTCCTGCCACCCGATTAGTGCGAGCGGCAGTTGATCCGGTGACCTGTGTACGATTTGCCCCTATTCCACTGGTTGCAGATCCAGTATCCGAAGATTCTAGATCCATGTAGAATCTCGCTCGGAAAGCGGCCAAATGAGCATAATATGCGGGGGGGACTGCAGTTCATCAATCACTCGAACGTAAGAAATGTATGGAGCTATTAACACACTAAATGAACACCAGTAATTGATCTTACTTTCATAATAACAGAATGCAATTGATCTAGCAGCCAAAGAGAATGTAGAAGTTCCACTAACATACCGATTGACACTGACCGTGTGCACCGTGCATACCTGCGACCACAGCTAACGCCAAATCAGAAAGGACAAGCAAAGTACACTCCAACCACCATTTTAAAAGAAGTTAAGATAGAGCACGAGTGAAGAACTCTACTTTTAAACCTTAAGAAAGTGAGAATACAAATACAATAATTAGACAATCTAGTCGGACATAGCTGCACACGCAAGCTTTTTGATGTACAACGACACAAACGTGAAGGTCTGAAAAACGATCTAAACTTTCCTCAATAGTTGGTAACTGAACAAGTCTGCATTCCAGTTTGTAATACGGTCATTCATTCTCTTCCTTCCCATCTTGAATATTTCCCAACTCTTTCAAACCATGCACAATTAAAACTCATGAATTTTGACGGCTGATGAAATGTTGTGTACAAGCCCATAACAAGCAATTCTGTTTTAGATCACGAGTACCACTTACGTATAGCATAGGTTGTTTGTCAATGACTGCAAACTGTCAGCAGAAAAACTATTCTCGTCCCACAATACATGGTAATGTGCAGGTCGACTGGTACCCTGGAGTCACCCATACAACATGAACAAGACTAAACAAATTAGTTGTGCCCACAACACATTAAACAAGGTTTATAATGCAAGGAAACAAGACGCCAGCATCGCACCTGGATACCATCACAACGTTGGTAAATGCTAAAAGTGGTAGGAAGGGTTTCAGACCTGAATTCCAGCGTGACTGCAAAGATAGAAGTCGAATTCCGTAGGGTGACAGATTGTAGAGTCCACAACCGTACCTAGTATGCAAAGTTTGTCACATACATTTAGATTAAATGCATAAGATTAGAATGTTGAAAAAAAAAAACTGCACCCCACATTAAAGAAATAATTCCTGGTTTGTCGCGAAGTGCATAAATTTTAAGTGATTATTTAAATTGAAGTTCATAAAGCATATTTACAGTAAACTACAATTGATAAAACTTTAGTATAGAAAGAATCCATACTGCAAGATGAGAAGAAATGCACCTGGTAGAATGTTGCCACTCCTATCAGTATTGCGACGATCACTGGCAAACAAACGAGTGTGGTGCCTTTTCTGAACCACTACAAACGTGACTGGAGGTTGGTATCCTTCTTCAAGCGAAGCACAGGCTCGCCTGATTGCGTCTAGCTCATGAAGAAGAACCTGTGAAAACTGGCCCTCGCTTACTCCATCTCTGTAGCCAACAATGAAACTTCTCAACTTATGATGTAGACCTGGGAAGTTTACTTTTACAGGTGTGCCATATAGTTACACAGGTGCGAGCATTCTACAGAAAGACGCAGAAGCTTCAGAATGTTTGACAGATGAACACCTGTAAAAGATGATACGGAGAGGCTTTTGACCAGTTGCGCTCCGGAAAGAGATGAGAAGTTCCCTATTAAAAAGCACAAAAGTTATGGAAGCGATTGCTCAACGAGAGATAAAGGATCGGAACATGAACATTAACATGATGACAATATGACATGAAGAAACACATTAGTGCGGTTAAAATTCGAATACAAGTCATAAACATGCACTGTTGAGCCGCTACTCAGATCCCCAAGATCAGATGGTACTCCAGGTAAAAAAATTATAGCACAGCGATAGATAAACGTATTAACGTAAATGAGCTCACCTAATCATCCCTCCAAACATTTTCCCCTTCATTGGGTCAGTGTATTCTTTGAATAGGTCCGCAATCAACTCTTGACGGTGAGTTTGAGCGCACACTAAACCAGCGTACTTGGTGACCTCAGGCCAATCCTGCGATGCCACAACCTGCAAACAAATGCGGAAGTCAACCAAAGAAGATAATAGTATCATATTAAACTGTGACATGGAAACTCGTTATTGATTTGAACCATGTCTCGTTCAAACAAAATAGCACTAACAAAGGTAAGGAAGACTTACAGCCGCAATAGAAGGGCTCGAATCTTCTCCGGGGTGCGGATGAGTGACATCTGCACCGAATATAATGGTGGGTTTGTCACTGACAAGAGGAATTCTTCTAGAAAGAGCGTCCACCAGAACAGTATTTCGGCCTCCAACCTGTCAAATACAGAGTGAACGTAAAGAAAAAGAAATAGTCATCTGCACTTGAACAATCATCTATTCCAAGTTTTGAACAGTTTTAAATCAGCTCCTAGGAAACTCTTTCTAGAACATTCTTGAGATCAATCAAGCCATATCAGGAGAAATGGAAGTATTCAAGAGCATGACCTTGACATTGATTTTCAGGGCAACATTTGCCAAGTACTGTTTGCTCATCTTAAATACATGTTTCGTCAAACAACATTGAGACACGACCCCCAGGACAGTCTCACACTGTTTCTTAAGATCGCCTGCACACACATGCAACGCGATGACGTTTCATACATTAATAACCACCATTGAAAATCCAACACATTATGAAAGTCCTGCACACTTTCCTGGGGAATTAAATTTATGGTTCGTAATTTGAAGGAGAACATACCATACAAAGACCCGTTGTTGTCGGGAAGAATTGCAATAAGCAGATCCAAGCCCTTCCCCTTTGTCCTTCTATTCACATCTTCACAGAGTTGATACAAAGCTTTTTCTGAATTATCAGGACGGACAGTTTTCACCGGCACAATGGGATCTCGAGCAAATTGCTGCAAAATAATAGCCACAATCCATCATATTGCTCAAATTTCCTCTGAATATAACAACGGATACCAATCTGAAAAGCTCTTGACGAATAAAAGTATTCCTGCAAAATATACCGCCCCGAAAATTAAATTTCATAGGCATTTGAACTGAGGCACTTTTGTGGCACAGGACTTCATAAACATAACCCGAACCCCTTCTCAACAATCAGCATTTACTATGTGGAGTGTATGAATCTAATAGAGCGTATCACATGTAGATAATATAACATACCATGCCAGATGTTTGACACATCTGAGCCAGCTCTAAGCAGAAGTCGCGAGCAATTTTCTCTTGAACATTTGATGAGAAATTGACACAAGCCCAGTGCTGAACTATACCTCCATTCACCATTTTCTGCAGTACCACAAGGTCCTCAACTAGATCAAGAATACGTAAACCCTAAATCGTACCAACAGAGCAATGCATTCAAACCCAGGTAAGCTCTATTAGCAGATGCAAGGACTTATCTGTAAATATATTCATAGATCTGTGTTGTCAATATGATTGATCTGGAACAGTTCAACAAGAGACTAGGGCAGAGACAAAAACACCTTCAGAAACGATAACAATTATGTAAGAAATGCCAACACACACCTTGTTCATCATGTTCCACTGCCCAACTTGTGGAAGGCACTCTTTTTCCCTTCCGGTATCATGGTACTTCAGCTGCATCAACAAGACAGAACCCAACAAAATATAGTGCGGCTAAGAATCGAACAAATATGCCCATGCAAGTACGTGCCACTTCGTAAGCCACTCAACACAACAAAAAAAAAAAAAAAAAAAAAAAAAAAAAAAAAAAAGAAGAAGAAGAAGAAGAGAGAGAGACTTACTCGTGGGGCTGGTAGGATTCGAGCCTCCACTTGCGCTAATTCATTGCTGATCCTGATTCCAAACTCCTGGGCATATGGGTCTTGATGATACGCATTGTGATGAACAGTCTGCCAAACAGACCAAACATTCCAAAAAATATTCAACTAGTAAACAGATAACATTCAATAAATAACTCTCACAAACACACTCTACAATTATTGTCCTCGTCGAATTGTGAACCATGACTACTCGCTAGGTTTTGGTTTTCAAACGATCGGTAGCATTACCTAGTAAAAAACAAAACTGAAAATAAATATTAGTTAATCCTCAGGAGTGCGTTATACCTGCATAATATCTCTCTCTCTGTCTCTGGGTCGCTGACAAGTGACTTGTAGAAGTGCAGCAATTTGGCGCTCATTCAGCCGTTTGGAATATCGCTGGCCCTCAACAATTTTGCAGACTTCCATTGGAAGATAATTGGGACGCTGAGTATTTCCCACTTGGAGACAGGGTAAAGCTGGATGTCGAATTGTGTAGCTATAAGTCTCGCGAAAGTAGTCAGTAACAGACTTCATAGTCCCATTATCGTCCACAGGGAATCTGCATAAATTGAAACCAAGATATTACATACCCAATAACTTCCGATTCATAGCTCAAAGAAGCATGTGAACTAAACTTACGAAAAGAGAAAACAGCATTCTCAAATTTCTACACATACTGCAATTCACTGGTGGCCTGATTAGTGAGCCCAGATATGCGATACTTGCGCCGCATACTTCCGCGATGAGTGACTTCCACCTTCACCCCACGGAGGGCTTTCTTGATCTGCAAAAGAACCGTGTTGTTCCGCACAAATCACCCTCCACAAAGGTATATCGTTTCGACGCAGATGGACACAAGACACGGCTAAAATTATACAGTTCGAAAGAGCGATGCCAACAGATACAAGTGTAAACGAAGCATACCTTAATGCGATCAGCATCGGTCAGACTACGGTTTAAATCCTTCCTCAGGAGATCCTTTACAAACTCTATAACAGTTTTAGGTTCAATGAACGCTGTGGAAGACATGTCTGTAACAGAAGCAAAAGGACATGAAACATTGTAAGTACGGACATTTCATGAATACAACGACGAGTTCGAGAGGGGAAGAGAGAGAGAGAGAGAGAGAGAGAGAGAGAGAGAGAGAGAGAGATTACCAATGTTTAGGGACAACCCCATTTGAGTTGGTCGAATACTCTGATAAAAGCCCCGCCAGCTTTCAAGACCATCTCCTAATGGCCGTCGCGTGCCCAGATCGGGTGAATAGAAATAGCGCCCAACGGGAGAATACCTGCGTACACCAAGCTTATGATGCGTTGACCTTCACATAGAATTTACGAGCACATTGCCACCTTTCGAGTAGTTTCAGCCAATCAGTACAGACGAAGAATGAACATATCAGAGTATTCAAATGACTTCAGGTCGCATGCATGCCAGTTGCAATTGTGTCCTCACCGAATCCAATGTTCGTATGAAAGTGGCAAGTTGAGATGTGTAAACATGAAAAGCTATGCCGTAAGCGTGCCTCGTAGTAGATAGACAAAGGACTATTGCATGCAAGAGCAGACCACGCATGAATCACAGTTACATGGAAATGCTTCAAACAATACAGACACTTTAAGACAAGAACTCACCGGTGGGTAGGGAGCTCTCTCAAAACAATGTCCAGAACTTGCAGAGCTTCTTGAGGAGCATCAGCTTGGCGTCCAGCAAGAAATTCTCCAAGATGGTGCAAATCTGCCCGGGCAGCAAATTTTATAACCACCTTGAAGTGCCTCGCTCTCCTACAACGAAACATGTCAGCAATCCTAACTAATATATGCACACTGACATGATCCCACACTCAAATGATAGGCAAATCACATTTGACCACAAGTCACACCTAAGCTGATTGCTTCCGTCCTCCTCGTCCGTAAGACTAATTTCGAACTCCCTGCTCTGAAACGGAAGCGGTCCGGCGGTGTAAAGACTTTTTCGACCGTCATAAGCAGGTAGCCTAGTGCCTAAATGAGATTCTCTGTAGAGCTTCACGAGCTGCTCCATAACAGCCCTGTTGATTCCCTTAGATGGGAGCTCTGGATTGATGGCAACCTGCAAAATCCAAAAATGTCCAATTCAAAAAAATTGTGGATTAAAACAACCTGACTTCTGTGTAACTGGTTTGGTCTGTCCGACGCTCTTTCACCAAATCAGCTAGTCTACACCTATATGAACACCACGATAATGATTGAAACATCCTCAAATGATCGACATATAGACAAACTCTCTACGAGGATCAAACAAACGAACAGTCCCAGATCACTTTGAAAGGCCGTAAGAATAACGTACAGACAACGAACCTATAAATGCATTTGAATCAGCCAACAAAAGCATGATGCTCAGTGAACAGAAAATTACGAAGTTGAATAAAAAAAATAAACGGTAAACAAAAAAGTGTTACCCACGCCAGGTGACCCTATAAATGTTATTACGAAAACCTTTAAAGATGAAGGAAAACTTACGTCGTAATGATGCAGATCCTTATCGGGCAGCTCAGCATAGAAATGATTGGCTATGACAATACATCTCAGACCATTACTCCCTTTTGAAGGACGCAAAGGGAACCTCACACCTTTGCTGGATAGTGGCGGCGGCGTCGGAGGTAGTTCCTGTCTAGGAGTAAGGGGGTCATGCAAAGGTCCCAACATAGGAGGAGGCCCCGGAGCTCCCGGAGCCCCCAACACCATTGTCCCAAATTGATACTCAACTGGAGTCACACCTGGTCCATAACTTGAAGATGGACTCGCAACTTGCACAGAAGGACTTCCGCCATGCGACGGCCCTAAATACGAAGGCCCCCTCCCCGCTGGTTGCATTGGCCTGGCTGCTAGAGGCATCGTCTGCTGGGGGGCTCTAGTAGACGGCCTCACATACATCGGGGGCGGGGGTCCATAGCTCTGAGGTTGCGCTTCGTGAAACTCCTGTCCCCCTGGACCCTGGAACTGTTCTGGATGTGGACTAAAAGTGCCAGGAGCATTATAGACTGGGGCGTTGAGCGGTAGTCCCTGATTGTTGAAACGGCCCCTACCACCCCTCCTGCCGGAACCACGGTCGCCCCCTCCCATTCCCCTGCCTCGTCCAAGAGATACATCGCTGCTCACTTCATTGCTCCCTTGACCCTGCCCTTGAGCAAAGGCTTGACCAGGTCCTTGACCTTGTACTCCACCTCCAATACGCCGAGGAGAGGGATGCTGTATGGGTGATGGTGCAGGGGATACAGCTGCAGGAGGAACTGAGGTCCGATCCGATGCTGGTGAAGGGGCTGAGGTACCAGATGGCAGTGCCGGTGACGGATGCACTGCCGGAGCTGAAGGACCTGGCTGTGCTGCCTGACCCTCAGTTGAAGTATCCACTCGGGAACCCTCCTCAGGCTCCTTTGGGGTTTTCCGTCTCCGCGGCATGATTTTAAGAGGGAAGGAGTTCACAAACCTAGATGATATCGACTTCCAGGTTTACTAAAAACTGCTCTTAGAGCTCAGTCACTGCCTGGAGTTCAACAGCAACAGCAAGTTAGACATCATGCCCGGAAGTTTCTGTTTAACAGAAATCTTCTTCAGCTGCGGTCAATTTGAAAGATAAGTTACTTGGTAGAGTCCTAGACACTCGCACGATCCCGAGGACACGTCACATTAAAACCGAAAGCGATTAAAGACGGCAGAATCCAATATCACGCGAAGGAACGGATAACACCTGTTTATTCTAACTTCTGCCCTCTCACCTCCCACAACTTTCCCTCGCAAATTTTAATACTCGTAATCGATTCCTGCCAACAAGCATGTGACGAACAGAAATCAAGATCAACAGAGGGAATAAAGGAATAACAACAGCCCTGAACTTCGGACAAACGATACACCTGATGCATTTGTATCCTTCGCTACTGAGGCGATCCAGGATATTCACCTTTCAAGAAGTAATATTGTGAAATTAAAATATGCTCGTAAATGTACATTAAATTATGACGAAAATTTCTAGGACTTCAATTACACGGCCGATTAGAGTAGAAAATCAGCATACGTGCAAAGAAATGGACCATTCCCTGGTTCAGTTCATAATGACGCGAATGCAACATCTGTATATCTGAAGTGCTTGAAACTGAGACTTAAGAAACAATCACAGAGCCAGTTCCTGCTCAAAGTTATCTTAAATATAATAGAAATAATAGTAATAGTAAAAAACCGCAACAATAAAAAGAGAGAAAATAAGTAAAGAGATAGAAACCAGAATTATAAATTGGTGATAAAAAAGACAGGATCGCAAAAAATATTCTGTGCAGCATAGAGAAGGTCCCGAGCAGAACGATACAAACAGCCCTCGTGCATAATACCTCAACGTCCTAAGCTTTAAGTCAAAACCAGAATGATAGAATAGTTATGCACGCCACACGAACTTGCACCAACTAGGTCCGGGTCTTCCGAATAACCACACTAACTCACAGCTCTACGATTTGATATTTGAGTACAGTACGACTACAGACCCTATCCTCTCACCCTAAAACAGGCAGTCAAGGTCTCCCCTCTGATAATTGCCATTCTCGCTAATTCTAGTATCTACCGCACTGCCTCCCCCAGAACCACGCAATTGCATGAAGAACTGCCTTGGTAAGACGTGAACACCGTTGATAATAGCTTCCCGACAGACACCACAACCATACTCTAACACAAACTGACTACCTAACAAACAAAGACCGCCCAGCCGCTCACTAACACACACAGACCTCAATTGCTCTCTGTTCGGTCCGCCCTGAACAACCAACAGCAATACAAAAACCACCGTGGCTCCCACTCTTCCGAAAGACAATTTCACTCGACAATAAAAACAAGCACGCACACAGCAAACCTCAGAAATCGCGCCTCACAATTGCGCCAGCGTGATCAACACTCCTCCCACCCCCTCCTCAAATCCTCTCCTCCCTCGCAGATTCAACCGGCCGAACCTCGCCCGAAGCAATCGTCAAAGGACACCACCTACATTGCATGATTAAATAATGCACCGAAACCACAAGAGATAATCGGGAGGCAAGGTGAGGCTCACATGCTGACATGGCCAAGGAAACAAAGCCAGTATACATACGTCCAAATGCTGTCAAGACGAGGAAACGGGGCGATGGAATAGAGGAGAATCTGAAAGGCGCGGGGCGATAGGGAGAAACAGGCCGCGGAACCTACGAGAGAGACATGGCAGAGAAAGAAAGGGAGGGAGGGGGAGAGAGAGAGGGCGGGGGAAGAGAGACAGAGACAGAGAGAGAGAGAGTGTGGTGATGTAGTAGTGTAAATGATGAGTCGTCACCAGCAGCAGGAGCGAGGCGATGATCGTGTCGTCGGATGGTCCATCCTCGCGCCGCAGTCATGCAGTATAGGCGTGATGATGAGATCTCCGCCTGATAGGCTCCCCTACGGCCTCACTTGGTCCATCCGGCTGCAGTAGTATTTTATCCTCTTCGTGTAACGGCTGCTGCTACAGTTTTGTTGCAGCTCCAGCCTCTTCCCCTCTCCTACTCTTTTCCTCCCTGCTGGGGCTGCTGCTATTTCTGCTGCTATTTCTGCTCCCTGCTCTCTTGCAGTTGCTGCTACTTGTCCTCTTGCTCTTCTTCCGAGGTGGACTGCCCTCCCTAATCTGCCACGTGTGACTGATGGCGGCATTTACTGAATGTCCACCTCAGCCCCCACTTTCTCCTCCTCCCTCCTTTTTCTGCCTTCGTTTCCCGCCTCCGCTTGACTGGAGAACCCAGCTTCCCCCTACCCGCTGCCCATTTTGGCCGGAAGAATTTAGCCATCACCTGCCCTGGGCTGATCATATTGAGGTTGACATGGTCGGTCGGGATTTCTCCTTGAAGGCTAGGAACTGGCACTATCTCTTAGACATGAGACAGAATAGTTTATATTAATTCTCTGTTTTGTGGATACAGAATTATTTGTGTCCTACTTTAAAATTCAGAAAGGGAAGTAACGAAAATTAGTGACATGTGATTAGACTTGTGAACGCACCTTGGAGTGTATACAAGTATCAAATTGTCGCTCTTTCTTTTCTTTTTATAGTTTATCCATCAATATATCCCATCGACTCTTCCAAAGCAGATAAAATGAACCTCCAAATTCTTATGTTCCAAGGGATTTTAAACCTTGTGTTAAGAAAAATTATAGAATTACGAACTACTTGTGAGGTAGACCAACATTTTGACACACTACTTTTTCATCTCGAAGAAGCAAATAGAAATACTTCACTCGAATTGAAAAGCCATGAATTGGCGTACTTCGTATTACGTTTAAATTTCAAACAGAGGAAACACTCCAAAGAATATAATCAATGAGTGGTGGAAAAGGTATAATTCAAATTTGGTAACATTCAAAACAAGGTAACTTGCATGGAAGATGAGTTGTCGATGTTAGAGAGATATCGTCAGTCGACGTCTCGGGCAGAATAGCAGGATAGAGCATGGACTTCAGCCCCAGTGATGTATTGTACATCCATTACACCTGCTTTCACTTCTATCCTAAACACGCAGCTACTTTAACAAAGCCAAATTCTTCAATGCACGATAAAGATTACAAGCACCAGTCAAAAATGGTGCTACGATTCTAATGCAGACAGCTGTAGATAGTGGTTCAATCATGACTAAATCATCATATAACAACTCATTTGCAAGACTACAAACCAAAAGAAGGAACATTATTAACATCATGTATATCATGACACAAGAGACGCTAAATAGCGGTTTACTATTCGCCATGACACAATCAGCAGGTCTAATGGTGCACGTGCATTTCCGCTGTAGAAGACATGCACGCCAGTCAAATCAGTTAAAACAACTTATTGACTGTATACAGCTGTAGACTCAAGTATTCTCGCTTACTGAGGCATGCTTAACATTACAATGATTTCTTGGACATCCCTATCGACCTAAGAAAATCAAGACGTGGATAGCTCTAGTCAAATTTGTGAAGAACAAAGTATTCGCAGTATAAGACAGCATGGGAAAAGAACCTTCAAAATCCTTCCGGCATTCTATAGCTTCCAACATTGTACCCCACGAAATCAACAAGCTACAAGCCTGCCAACTGATAATTATAACATAGTACCTCGTCTACTAGCACTCAACTGATGTCATGTAACTCAAATCTGAAAGTACTACATTCAACACTAAGTCGCTCGGTTCAATATTCAAGGATTTTGAGGTGAGGTCAAATATTTATCCAACTCTTCAAAACCATTCTACAACCTTCTTATCCATAGTACGCCTGATCCACGTAAACCAACTGCAGACTGACAATACTCTAATAGTGACAATCTCGCAGTAAGGAAGTCTATGAATCTTCGGGGATTTCAGCGTTACGCAACTGTCATTTTGTAGGAATTTCGGATATTATAACCTCGTCTGTGGTTTGCAGATACAGCAGGGTATGCATGAAAAGCCTGCGGGTAGGTTTCTCCAGTCGACATCTGAGATCTGGTATAAGTGGGAATGGAGGGTACGACAGAAGTTTTCATGTGAGACCTGTTCACAAAGTTACAGAGTTACCCATCGTAAGACTATATGTAATCATTTGTGGCAAACAGAGCTAGTAGAAACTACAGAATATTTGAACCCATATTCAAAGTGATTTGGACACTTGTTTCAAGTAACTGCTAGCAAAGTGGTACAGGTACACACCGAGATGGAAGACCTGGTATGGAAGGGTTTGTAGCAGGTATCACTGAATCTCGGCCATGATTTAATGGCGGGACAGCTGCGAAAAAAAAGGGAAAAAAAAAAAGAAAAAAAGATAGTAAATATTTTATTACAATATATTCCTGATAGTAGAAGAATAATAAACCGGCAGACAAGTTTTACAGAAAAAGTATGCAATAAAGAGGACGCCTCGTACCTGGACTGATAGACGATCGATTAACACCTGGCCTCACTTTACCCATTGAGATAGGATTCCCATGCTGGAAAAATAAAAATAAAATAAAAATCAATAAATAAATAAACAAAAAATGTCGTTGAATCCTCGTATTGAAAAAAATCGTAGTATCTGAAAAGACAATTTATATCACAGAAAAGAACCAACTCTGAAACATAGATACCTGCTTTGTCCAGACAGAATTTTCACGCTTTACTCCTGTAAACATATATCAGAGTGATTTAAACGTAAGAACTCGATTAATATTAATTCCTTTCCTGTTACTAAAATATAAGAAAGCGATTGTTGCGAAGCAATACGACTCAGCTCAACTTTCATGCAGCTTCGATGTAAACGATGCAAGCATGCTTTAAACAGACACTTACTTGCTCGGCCCTCTATTTCCTTATTCACCAAATAGTTTGCCTTGACCACTGCAATGAGAAAAAGAAGTCAATACCTACTGATTCATGCAATAGTAATCATACTTTAAAACCAGTTCATTAAAAAGCCAGAAAGATGATCTATGCTGTATACAACTAGTCAATAACAAATATGTTCGCCCATTGCAGTACACGTTCACGTCCACAAACCCTAAAATTCTAATTAAAATACAACATCCTTAACCAGTTGGAAAAGTTGTTGTAACGCCTTACATCACCAATTATCAAACGAAATAAATCAATAAATCAGAATTGGACAACAAGTATGGCAAAAGATTTCTGCAGACCTCCACAAGCAAATCACTGAAAACTAAGACTAACCAGTAGGCACGAAGGCTCTTGGTTGCACAAATTCGCATCCAGGGATTGATGACGGTATACGCTTATGAACCTGTCACAATTAAAAGAATGTATCACTTACATGCACCCAGTCAAGTATATAATGAGTCTGATGCAACATTTGCTTAGAATGTGCGCATCCAAAGGAGACATAGAAATCCACTCCAGCACACTGAACAACGTCTGGACCAGCGTGTTAGTCACCATAATCATAAAACAGAAAAACGGCATTAACTACAGAAGGAACAATAACGTGTGAGTACAAGTACAAGAAATTTTACTTGAAAGAATGGATGCTGCAATGCCTGAGAAGCCGTCGGTCTTTTATGGGGATCCCAGACGCACATGGCCTGAAGCGAAGTGCCATACATATTTCATTAAACACCATGACACCATAGTGCTCATGCCGATTGCAGTGGAGTATGACATGTGAGTATTTATGATAAGTGAAGCAGCACAAAGGCGTCAAGAACTTGAGAAAGCTAATTGAAAAAACCTTTCGAGTAGGTCTTCCCAAACAAGAATTATTTCGAAGCGCACTGACTTGCGACAAAAAAGCTAAAATACATGCCCATTTAGAAAAATTAACCAAAAAATCATTCAGAAAAAAAAAAAAAAAAAAAAAAAAAAAAAAAACCTACAGATATCAAGTTGATGGCTTCTGAGCTGGCAGTCGGAATCAGTTGAGATAACTGCGTTGATGAGAGCTTCAACACCACCACACAAATCATGTCATTACTTTCAATACATAAGAAATGCAACCACCATGATATGAGTTCTCAGGTTTTTACTGAACATTGCAATGTTCAGTTATCCCTACATCGACTAAATATAGAACTAAAGGCTAAAAGTTCCAGTAACATCTTTGTACTCCGTGCAACGCAGGACTGAATTCACTGCGCGATAACAGTAGTTCATTTCTGCAAACATTTAATTAAAAAAACTAAACTAAATGACAGCAAGGTTCAAAGTACAGTAAAGTATCACATCAGACGATCAAATAAATACCTGAGGAAACTGAAAGTTCAAAGAAGCTGCTAGCTTCATTCCATCCGACCATGTATAGTGGCTAGGAGACCCAATAACGGCACAGATTCTATATATTTCGTCTACCTCACTGTAACCAACAATGACAATAGTTATGATTCCCATATGAAATCAACCAGAAAACGTCAGCAATTTGAAAATATTCAACCATGTAAAGATGTTATAAAAATATTTTCGAGTAAACCAAGTAAGAACACTAAAATGTGCATCATCCCAATGTGAGAGAGAGAGAGAGAGAGAGAGAGAGAGAGAGAGAGAGAGAGAGAGAGAGAGAGAGAGATAATTTAAACGAAGTTACATATTGACATTCCTACCTTGCACCAGGGAAAAGTGGACGAAGGGTGAAAAGTTCAGCCATTATTGCTCCCACTGCCCACACATCTGAAATGAAAATTTTTACTTAAGTACTTCCAGAAGAGAGGCACAGAATGAGTATATAACAGATACAACGACTAACTGCTGCTGCGAAAGCACAAATACAGAATACACACGCCATATGATATAATCCACCCTCAAGATAATGACTGCGGCATAGTTGTATAAGATTATTGAAAAATTACAGCATGCAGAAGCTGACCTCAACATTTAAACAACTGACATCACAGTGAATTTAGTACCTATAGCCGCACAATAAGTCGGCGACTGCAAGAGCACTTCAGGTGCCCGATACCTGCGTACAATCCAATGACATGGAGGTAAGACAGCAATGGGAGATACGATGATAAAACAAGCACCAATATGTCACAAAGCTAATATGTGTGAATTTACAAACAAATGGGTCATACCAACGAGTAGAGACGTAATCGGTATACGGTGGACACGAAAGCACTTCCCTCGCGAGGCCAAAATCAGCTACCTTGATCACATCGTTCGTGACCAGGAGATTTTCTTCAAAAGAGAAAAGAGTAAAAACCGAGATTAGAAGAAATCGTCTTTCAATGTAACTACATGATCATAAATCGACCCTCACAATTAGATGCTGACCGTTCAGGATATAAATGCAACTATGCAAGTCACTCAGGTATCTATGAAAGTCATGTAGTCATTACGACAGTTGGGTACCTGGTTTCAGGTCCCTGTGAAAATATCCATGCTTGTGCATGTACTCTAAAGCATACAAAATTTGAAAAGCCCAATTTCGTACTTTGGCTTCGGAAAAAGGCTTATCATTATCTTTAATAAGCTGGTAAAGATTGTATTCCTGCACGATTAAATGCAAACAATATTGAAAGGAATATTACACCAATGTCCATCATTTAATCCCAGAAGAAACAAACCATCAAATAATTGCTGTACCATTTCTAGAGCCGTGAAAAGCTAAAACCTCACCATATACTCAAAAACGAAAAACAGTTCATCGTTTTCACGGATAACCTCCTTCAGCTTCACGATGTTAGGATGATTCAGCTTCCGCAAAGACTGTTAAAACCACAATTGCTGTTTTAGCACTTGGAGCACCTGCCCACAAATGACCGGCCAAGCAACCACAAAGAATACCTCCCACCAGAATTTTATACAGGATCAAATTGTGTACGAATATGCCGGATTCATACCTTCACTTCTCTTAGATTCATGCATTCATCCCATGAGTAAAATTTCCTCTTCATCTTCTTGATCGCCACGACCTCGTTAGTGGCATTATTAACTGCTTTCCAGACACTTCCATACGTCCCATCGCCCAACTGCCTCATAACCTTGTACCTGAAATATAGACAACGTGTGATAAAGCCTCAGTGCGACTCAACAAAAATCTTAACTTAACTACAGAAGGTCACGGCTACACGGACACCAGCTTCAATTCAATGAATTGAACTTGCTAATACTATGCCGTTCACGCATGACTGATAAAAGAAAACAGACAGTGTGATAGAAGACAAGCTACGTACCGCTCCATACTTTGCTGGTGGTATGTAATAGGGAAAACCTTTCACATAAATAGTGAATTGTTAACCAATAATTTCCAATCCGTGTGATGTACACAAAAAGCAATGCTGCGGCATATCCCTCTCGTAAATTTCCTTAAACCTGACTGCTTCCAGTATCTGCTTCGACAAGGAACCATCCATATTCTATTTGACATCCGTGTGAGTATTCGCCGTTCATCTCCGAAGAGAGTGATTACGTCAAAGGTGAAAGCTAGATGCAATCCGAGCACTTGGGGCGCAGCGGCGGCACCGCTTCCAAGTCCATTACTGGAGCAGGCTGTTGAGTCATAAAAAATTCCAGTGCCACTGAATCGGCGGTAATATATATTATAGACCAGGTAACAAGAGGCAAAAGCTCCATAACTCCAAGCAGCTCACACATCCTTTGAGCTGCAAAACACTGCTCAAGCCCCTCCGATGGATTGGGCAGACGCAGTCACACCTGCATTGACAAGTAAAAACTTTAGAGAGCAGTCGATATAATAATCAAGGCATTTTGACCAAAAAAAAAAAAAAAAAAAAAAAAAAAAAAAAAAAAAAACTTTAAAAGACAGATCGATCTAACAATGTCGCACAACAAGGTGAAAGCATTCGACGGCTTAGTCTCAGGTTCAGACTGGTGAGAGTGTTGACGCAACCAAGGAAACAGAGAATAATAATTATTCGATTCGTTATGATGAAACAGAATCTGCACAAGCGCTGCATGTATTTTGCTGATATTTATAGCAAAGTAAGCGTCAGACAAACGTCAAAACTCTAAACGAGCAAAATATATACAGATCTCATGCTACAAAATGGGCGCCTAAATGTCGGCAGAGTGATTACTACTCCACGTATTGCACCACACCATTACTAACGAGTTCCTTCGAGAGGCAGAAAGTACATGCAACCAGGAAAACAAAAATACCAAACTGGAAAAAACGGGGAAAAGATTTCGATTTTCAAGCATACTCGAACGCTCGCGCGACTAAACAGAAAAGAAGACATGAAACATAAGCGACCAAAATACATGACTCAAGTCTTGTGTACGAACAAGATCTCCGCGAAATGCGCAAAAAAATGAATCGGAACGATACCCGTTGGTCTTTTCACAGAATCCAGAAAACAGAAACACCAAAGCATTCATCACAACGGCGAAGACCTTCGCAGGAATTGGAACCGCTCATCACAGAAACCTAATTAAATCGCCGAACAATTCCCTCGTGACCCTGGTCCACTCTCGACAGCGTTCCATGAAGGTTCACCGCATCCTGCGCGTAAAACCTCAGAGGGAAATATCGACGTTCTCAAACCCCAACCACATTCAGAGGCACGACCGTCACATCACACTAGTGCCCCTAGCGCCTCGGAAGGACAAGAAGAAACAAATTACACTACCAAACCACAAACGGAACCATGCCAAACAAATACGAAACACTGCACACAACTCACCGAAGCTCGCCGCCTCCGCACGCCCTCGCTTCCAGATGGATCAGGGCAATTCCACGGTCTCGACTCTACACTACAATGACCAAGCTGCGCTTCCCTTCTAAAAGCCCGCACACCATCTCCGCAGCTCAGAGGCAGAGCTCCGAATTATCCCGACGCAAACTCTAAATTCGTCCGCGAGTGGGAAAAAACAATTAACAGGAAATGAGCAATGAAGGCGCGCATCGTGCTCGTCCGGCGCCGGGCCGGGCCGGGCCGGGCGGGGACGGGTAAGCATGTCACGGGTCCAGGATGCAGAGATTATGGGCTTGTATCCTTTTTAATTAAATCTTTAATTTACTTTATTTTGCTTTTCTGGGTTTGTCTTCCAGGCCATTATCTTGTCATGTTTGGAAGCTCCCTCCCATTCAAAGCTTTCTTTGTGGTGGTCTTGCGAGTTTTGATGACACTTGGTCAAAGATATTTAAAAAGGCTCCATGTGTTCATGGCGTCTATTTCGTGTACACAGCATTTGTATAATGTTTTTTAATTGTGGGTTTCTGTCCCCAACATTATTTTACATTCTATTCATGAATATTTAATGCATTGCGTCTTAACTTTATTGTTAGAACTATCTTACTTTTCAAGAATTATTACCTTTAATATGATTTTGCCCCCGATAGGTAAAGGACGTTGTTTGTAAAATAAGTATTATTGTTGAAATTTTGTGTTGGAAGGTTTGAATAAAATCCAATGAAAATATCTTCTATCTTTTTTAATATTGAATAGTATCTACACTAATTTGAACAATGATATATTAATTTTAAATGCTATTTGGATCAATTTTGGCATTTATGATTAGCGTTGGATTTTCTTAAATACTCAAATCCTTCATATTTGCAGAACAATGTGCTCAACCAATATTTAAGTTTTCCATTGATATATATATATATATATATATATATATATGTATATATATATATGTATATATATATTTTACATTTTGCATTTTTTTTCTAAATTTGTATTGTTGTTAACCAAGCACTTAAACAAATGAACAAACAAAAAGAAAATGAAAGTGTATAAACTATTTTCACTTAACATTTTAAGAAATTTAAGTATATATATATATATATATATATATATGTGTGTGTCTGTGTGTGTGTGTTTAAAAATTATTAAAAAATCATTTCAAGAATGCACAGTTTTATAATCATGTTTCATCTATAAAAGTGATTTAATAAAATTTTGAAAGTATGATTGTTATTATTTTTTAAGCACACGTACCCATTTTCATTTACTTATTTCAATAAATTCAGTTAAACAGCTGGGATCATTTCAATTAGATTGTGTTGAGGAACCAGATTTTATATGGTAACTCATTATGATTGAAAATGGTTGTGCACTAATGCCCCATCAATGTCCACATTTGATGCAAAGCTTACATATTGGCATTTCCTTGCATTTTTGACAAGCTAGGCAACCCAAGCTATACCTTGGTACCACAAGCCATGGACCTATTTGACCTGTTTTAATTTTCCTATCCCATAAGATTTGGCTCTTTGTGCACTGGTATTCAACCAAGGGCAACTATTTGTCTTTGAGTCATGCTACAAAATTGGGCCTTGAAAAATCCAACAAGACAAAATCTTGGGAACCACCCATGGCATCCACACTTGTTGGTGCAGTACATGTGGAAATATTTTAGAAGGTGAATTAGGGTTGGAAGAGATGCATGCAAGTAATGATGTAATCCTCAACTCAAAAATAAATATTCAAATATATTTATAGGAATTTGTTTCAGGAGCCAAGGAGGAACCATTCTTCAATGCTCTTGACATATTCAACATGTTATCTCAATAGGCAAGGAAATAGGAGGGGCAAATGGAATGGAAGCCTTAAGTTCTGGCTTCCAGATAATTGGAAACAGTGGTTGTGGTGAGGTACACTGCCACTCATCATACTTTATTACTTTTCTTATTCTCATTCATTGTATACAACTTAACTTATGGACCTGCTTTTCAGATGACCACCTTATTCAGGACTGCTTGGAACAACACAATTCTGTACTCAAAATAGCTTACTCACCTTTGTCTTCTTCTACTTCCACACTATGCTCAACGAATGGGGTATTTTTTATTTTTTATTTATTTTTTGTTTTTTTGGTTCTTTTGTTACTGATAACACACAAACATGGTAGATGCTCATTTCAATATTTATTATTTGGATAATATGAAGCATGTAGTTTCTGCAATGAATCACAAGTACAAACTTTAACCAAATTATGAGGATTTTATCTAAGCAGGTGAATAGGATACATTCTGCGATCACAAAACTGAAAAAAACTGACTAAGATTTCAATTATTTCATGTTATGTGTAATATAAAGTTGACACTGTTCATTACTGGAAAAAGAGAAAGAAACAGACACAAACTAAAAATAAAAATAAATCAGTATGGTATTGTGGATGTGACAGAACTGAATTAATAACCTATCTGCTGAAGGGTCCCTTGGACTTACCATTTTGGTGGCTGGTAATTGGATTGAGGTCTTATAATGTACCTGCAATAATTCATGAATAAGAGGTTGGTTTGATGCGCACTTCGACGCAGGAGATGTGACACTCCAAAGGGAAAACATTGTAAGCCGGTCTCTTCAACAATTTTACAAGGGACTTTCCACAATGTGTAAATTGTGCGTACAGCTCAGCTTCAGACATATCACAGTGCTTATCTACAATATAAGTTTAGAAACTCGACAAAAGTTAGGTAGGATTAGCTAATTTGATAGCAATGGATTGAATCACGATGAATTTGAAAGGTTATGTACATAGCGAAATGAACATTATGATGGTTTTCACAAAATGCTGGTGACAACTTTCACACCTTGTCTCACGCTCAGTGAAACATGTTTTTCTACAGTGGAGAGTCTGTTGGACATGTGCCTGGTCGTTGATGCAAAAGTAAAATTTGATTGGCCAACGCACTTTCTATGAATCTAATGGACTAATACTAACGCTGAGTAAATTTGATGTATGCCTTGGATACCAAGAGACACAGCGCACTTTATAGCTGTCTGAGAAGGTATTAACACTATTAATCTTTAAATTCGAGTCGCGCACCACGGTGAACTTCGCAAGCAGGAAAACGTAGAGGAGCAATCCAGCACAGTTAAACATTGGCCAAGTTCTGGCCTAACTGAGATCAAAACCGGCTCCAGCAGTAATGGCGTACAGAAGTTTTTCGTGGATGATCTCCTTACTGCGTAGAGAAAGATGATACAAGTTAAGAGACAGAAGCTACCCTTTCAATGCCATACTCGTCAATAAAATTTGACTAAAAATATTTTAGATCATAATTCAACAAGAAAGAGCCTCAATAATACCTTCTGTAAGGAGGAAGCTTGAGAAGGTTCATACAGGTTGCTGATGTTGGTAAGCGATCTAGGGCTTCTTGGGATCCGTCATCAAGGCCAGCCCTGCACACAAGTAGGCACCTGTGTCAGTTCTACACTTGCAAAATAGTTTCACATATCTGAGAACCTCGAAGCCACCAAATCTCACAATCTTTCAAAAGAGAAAGACGTTAAATTAAGTTGATTATCATAGTCCATAACTGAATAGAAAGTCCGATAAGCTGGAAACCTCAAACTCTTTCCTCAAAATTTAGACTTGCTGCATACGTTGCAGGTTGGATGCCGCAGAAACGTGTTTAAATTCAAACACATTTTCTACCGCTTTTAATGCGAACAAGTACCTTTGTATACAAAATTGCGGTTCCAAATGCTTGAATCCAAGAAGTGGGCCGCGTGAACAACCTGTGACAAATCTGCAGAGTTGGAAATCCAAAAAACACTTCATAAATCATCATGAACCCTCGACTTACGAATGTCTTTGCCACCATTCAAAAAATAACACTCTCGCTACGGGATTTTCACATTAAAAGGCAGAACGGGTCATATCAAATTATTTGATACACATGTCAAAGCTGGTCTAACATGCAACACAAAGAATCATGAGCAACTCAAGATGCAAGTCGAGCTTACAAAACCCAAAAATATCCTGGTTTCAGGGAGCTAGTGTACTCACTTCAGAAACTTTTGCTGCAGTCCCAAATCCAACTTCTGCACGACCTCCCAGAACATCTCGATGACAGGGTGATGCTGCAATATTCATATTACGTACATCGACTATCAGAATCGCAAAAAGAATAAGGAAATAATACTAAAACTTGACTTACGCGGGCCAAATAACGTGGAGCGTTGCTTCAGCATAATATATGCCACTGATCGTTCACAAATTAAACTGCATCTTTCTCGGGCAAGTCTCGAAAAAATGGGCAACAGCACTCAAAAATTGAAGAATGACGCTTGTTGGAAAACGAGAATATATTAAGCTCTCATGTTCTCAAATATGCATCTTAAATAGAACTAACCTCATCGTAGCCACCAGCATAATTGGCATTCTTACGCAAATCATCCACATCCATACCTTCATGCGAACCTGAAATAATCGTCTACATGCATAAAGTAATATATATATATATATATATTAGTATATCAAGCTACGTACAATAGAGCGGTAGTTATAGTTACCAAGCATGATCGCATCAATAACTCGTATCCTTGGTTTAATTTCCAGCTATGTGAACACAAAGTATTTCGGCATGAACGCTAACCAATTCAAATCCTTGTGTTCAAATTATAGGCAAACAACCCTGTTTGATAGGATTTCTGATTCATGGTGAACGATTTAACAAAACTGCTTAAAACATCACATAGCTATAGGACGGTAATACTTGGTTCAGGCAAGGGTCACACCTGTATCTCATGCTCGTTAAACATGTCAATCCACTCTGAATGGATAACTTGCTGAAAACCGCGAAGGAAATGAAGACTTTGCTGGTAAATCTGTACTCACCAAGGGAAATCAAGCTATAAGTTGCTAAAGGTGTAAGCTGTAGATTAACGAAACACTTGTGATTATTTCAGCAATCACATTGTCATCCAGAACAGGCGATATGAACAAATAACGGGGCCGTGCATTACAACACGTGACTGAGTTTTCAAAAGTCATGATATCAGCGGCAATACACTAATGGAAATAGACAGCGCAGACATAACTAATCCTCATTATAAATCTTGTAGAACAAAACACTGATGAACAAAAAAACTCGACTTAATCGAGGAAACCACTCTTTGATGGATCAAGACCATGAAACAAGACGATTTATGTAACAATATTACCTGAGTATTTAAACGATGATGTGCGACTAGGTGTATGTATTTAATAACATTGTCACCAGTGACTTGAATATCTCTTCCTCCTGGAATAAGTTCCACTTCCGTTTGCTCACCATATTCATTGTGCGTAACTACGAAATACGCAGCTAGTTGCGACCAATCTCCGTCATAGTGCTGTAATAGAGAGCAGCCAGCGAGGAGAATATCAAGAGCAGTCCCCCCAGTGCGGCCTTGTATGCTCATAAATATAAGTGATGGACTGTCAACTGGTTGCAAAGCCACATTATATGCTTCTTTCAGGAAGCACCAATGGTCTAGTTCTAGCAGGGTGATAATTTGTAGCGACAACCAGAGCTTTACATGTCTTAAAACATGGTTAGACAAACTGGATATAGAAATACTCATAATAATACAGTAGAATATTGCAATAGGCACCGTGTATCTTACCTTCAGAAATAGCATGCTTTGATACAGCTCAGGATCCAAAGATGGCAGGTCATGCAAGTAACTGTGCCTGACAACCAAGCAATAAAATTTCGTCAAGAACTGTATATTTGAAGTATCTGTAATTACAGTACAGACGACATCCCAAGACAATCTCGAAGCAGGCTACTGATTGGCAAATAGACATCAGCATACAGCCCCCAAACGGTTGAATGGAAAAAAAATCCAAATTATTTGTTATCAAAGATCTCGAGCACTATATATCAGCTTTCTATTAACGACGCTGCGATGCCATTTTTGAAAGTTCAGCGACGTACTTCTTTCGGAGCTTGCTCAAGAAAAAGGTAGCAAATGGAATGTCTACAAGGATTCCTTCAAACATTGCCTGCATAGTAACACTACATACTAAATAAAATATGGAATATGAAATTAAAAGCTTGCAAACGCACAAAGACAATATAATCGATTTCACTAGAATTTACTAATTTTAGAATACACAAAACCCAGAGTTGATGTTTCTAGACGGTTAAGTTAAACAGGCATTCTGGTATATGATAAATGATATCTTTAGAAACTTCATGGTCTAATATATTAGGTGGAAGATAATCAAATTTAAAACATGATTCAACCCGACATATTTACCTTCCCCAACATTTTTCCAAAAAACTCGAAATACTGAAGATGCTCATCAGATACCATCTGAGATGCTGGATTGGGATATAGCAAGTGATCAGAAGTTTCCTGCCAAAAAAAACTTAATTCAAATCAGTACAAGTTTTGTCCTAGCAACTTTGTAATTACATCGTTTACAATCTATGTCTGAGTTTAAAGACCAATATTCCCTACACAAGGATGACACAAATGTGCCGCCTTTGATGACTAGTAGATGAGAGTGTTTTGGATGATGTGATACTTCAAGATCATTAAAAAATTGGCTGGTAGATATACCAAGGTAGACAGCACAGAGCATACCTTGAAGAGCCCATATTGAACATCAAAGCCCGTTTTAGTTATGCCCTCCATGAAATCTTTAAAAATCCCTCCTCCATCCACACCTGCTTCCTCGACGCCCAGCTCATTTACAAACATGACCCGTATCTGAACAAAAAGTCGGGTTATTTTCACATATAAAGTAAAGGTACCTAAAAAATCGCTAGAAAAAATAAAAGAAAAGGAAGAAAAGGAAAAAGGACGTAACAGTATAATAGGTTTTGAGGTAGCTGATCATTTACAGCATCTGGGTTAAAAAAAATTAAATAAGATATATATATATATATATATATATATATTAAACATTCAGAATCCAGGCTAGTCGACTTCATTACCGTGCCTTTCAAAGCTTCGGCGCTGATTCCATTAAGCTGAGCAAATGCATCCTCTGTAATATGATCTCTTCTGATTTTAATTCGAGTCCTTCCCATGGGATTTTGCGGGCCATTTTCTGCTCTGGCTGCAGCTATGTGCGACTGCTCACACCCACAAAAACAACTTAAAAAAGATGCTTATAGAACTCCAAAACAAGACAGCTATATAGACATTTACTGTTAAAAACGGTAGTCTGAAAAATGATGGTGGAGCTTCAAAATCTTGACTACCGTAAAGATGCGCACTCGGTCCTTGAATGGAACAAGAAAGGGAGCTTGTCTCAGAAGATCTCGCGCCCTTGTATGTTCCCCTTCAGCCTGCAAGAGCACACATCAGAGTTCGTTATACGTACCATTTGGTCAGCATAGACGTCCGACATCTTAGAACATGTGAACAATCAAGAATCCTACCGATGCTTATTCATGGAATTGAGAAATGCCCGAAAGTATATGAAAAAAACTAAGGAAATTGAAGTTATCTGAGACATAACCACAATAATACTGGCGCATCACCTAGACCTGAAATGCCATGATAAATGATGATAATGACCATCGTAAAGGTCAGAAAAAACAATAGTGAAAAAAAAAAAAAAAAAAAGAAAAAAAAAAGAAGAAGAAGAAGAAGAAGAAGAAGAAGAAAGAAAGAAAGAAAGAAAGAAAGAAAGAAAGAAAGAAAGAAAGAAAAGAGAAGAAGAAGAAGAAGAAGAAGAAGAAGAAGCAATACTATTCATGCATTAAAACTAGTGCCCACAACCATTTGAGTACCTGAATGACAATTCACACTCGACTTTCATACACAACAGCGAAGCATAAAGTTAAGTTCCAAGGACGCTCTTGTACAAACCTGTGCGACAAAATAGTCGTCAACACCTTGACGGGCGTGAAAATCTTCGGGAGGCGTAAATTGCCGCCTGCTATTACGGTCATGCAACTGCAGCAAACGCGAAGGTAATAGACACATTTTCACATTTGGCATAACAAAGTCAAACATAGCTGAAAACAATCATATTTTTACCTGCAAAGTGTAAGGAACTCAACCCAGAACAAGCAAAAGACAGTGACTATTTCAATCTGTGTCAATAGAATAACTACACACCTCTGCTAAAAGGCGAGATGCAGATTTGCTAACGAATTGCTGAAACACATGATAAGAAAACATCCTTCGGGATCCAAAAGCGTCTGAACCAGGCTTATGAGCAGAACTTGAAGATTGCTTATTTGTCAAAACCCATAATAGTTGCCATAAAGCCTGCATATACACGAAATCGAAAAAGAAAGCGGTTAACAGTGCATTTGTGGTTGTCCCCAGGCAGCGTGGCAAGGTCATCGATCAAATTTGACAACCTCTGGCAAATTAGAATCGGATCATCGATAAGCTCACAATACCAAGACATGCCAATTCAACACCGTAAAAGTAATCAAAGGTCTCTCAAATTTAGCATACTGCACCAACCTCCTTCAATACAGACACTAGTCGGATAATATCAGGAATAGAGAGAGGCCGTTGTTGTTCATAAAACTCCTCGTTGTCTATGCTCATTAACAAATAACTGTAAGAGTTCGGAGTAGGGGTCAGATGCAATAATTTTGGACGCAGCGGGTCTGAAACATATAGATATAGGCCACACTTCAACAAATGCCGCTTTGATATTAGAAAGCAAGAAAGTTTGAAGAAATCTTGTAAGAAGTTGTCATAAAAAATGGATTATGAATCGTACACGAAAGTCCCCAAACATCAGGAGTGAGAACTCACCTGTACACAGGACAAAACACGGCAAGTGGTAACACCCAACCAGGCAGCCTGGAAACCAGCATTTCTAAAACATTCCTTCCCTTAAACTCAATAGAAGGCCAGGATTGAAGACGGTGATGTCGTTTTATGTGAGTCCATAGCTGAGGTACAAGCTGAGCCTTGTATGCCAGGCCAGTTATAACACGTGATGTAGGCAAAGTCATGAAGATGGAATATAGAAAAGCACAAGTGGCCCCCACTGCCTCGGCTTCAGCTTCTGTACAAGGTCCATTTGTTGCGGATTGAAGAAACGCTACTCTGACCTGATTGCAGGTGTCACATAGTCTCATTCATTTAGACTCCAGGTATCAAGCTTCTCTAGGCCTACTTCCTTTTCTTCTCAAATGTCTTACTGTAGCATTAAACTATTGCAGAACATCCTCATGTAAGACAAAAGGATTCAACTTATTCACTTCAAGATAAAAATCAAATACAATCTACACATTATAAATATTGCGTTATCAGTCGCAGCGAAATTCAATAAAGCGGTCAAAATTCATTACCAAGTTTTTGAGTAACTCTGGATCCGCGGCATGCAGTATTTGTTGCTCAAGTGCGGGTTCAGAGAGTGTTGTTTCAGGCCCATCAATGTCCATGTCTTCGTCAGGACCTGGATCATCAGACACTACAATAACCGGAAATTAAAAATAAAAATAAAATAAAAAAACCATATACTAAATCACTTCACTTCAACTAAGAAAACATTAAACAAGCACGCTGGGGACTGTCAGAAAAATCCTATCAAGATCAGACTCTTGACTTGACAGGTTATCTGATTGAGCCGGACGTTAAGCAGGGAAGTATGTTCACGAAACCATCCAAACCCCTTAAATAAAAAGCTACTCCGTTTCGTTATACGAAACTGGCCCTTTCGACCATAAATTGGATTCAGTCAGATAGTATTATACAAGCAAGTCATTAACCAAGGGAAGGCGCATAATATACTAGAATGCCTCTCCAGATAATAAAGAAGAAATAAATAACATCATTCACACGATTAAAGTCTTCAAGTACCAGATTTGTGGTTGCATATTACTTCTTTTCCTAGAAGAACTCTCCAATATACATATTATCACTGTATAATAAAGCACCAATATCAATTATCAATAAACATACCAAAGTTCATGATTCCGACTAAGTACGTGAACTAACGGGTATTGAGTATAAGAAAACCAGGTATCGTACCATCGTAATTCCTGTCCCTTGAACTCCTAAAGAAGGACGAAGGAAGATCCTCCAGCAAGTATGTACATACTACTGCAAAATCTGTTGCCTGCAACAACAATAAATATAAAAGTAAAATGATAAGTTTAACATACACATGATGAAATAAAATCAGAGATCCTCGTAACAAAATCATCTGTACAATTTGAAGATTACGTTATACCTTTCAAAGAATATTTACAACCTGTGGAAAGTACACAATGATGCAGAGAAGCATCTATTCAATTTACCATACTGAAAACAGTGGTAGGTAACATGAAAGTACACATCATCCAGTCCACGACATATGAGACGAATTATGTAATGCAGAATTCAAGAGGTTTTACCAGTAACATACGCAAACACAGAACAAAAGAAAAAAAGTAAAATGCTAGTGATGAAAACGGTCAACACACACACACACACACATTTTATAAATTAAAAAAATAGCCTTACCAGTTGTAAAGTACAATCTGATGAACACAGACCCTCCGCAGCTACCTCAAGCAGGTTACCCAGAAGGCAGATACAGGAAGGAAACTCTGGTGTTGTATCTGAAGGCAAGAGAGATATAAACTTGGAAAGATTTGATGCAATCAGGTGGATGGAGTGTCCCCATAAACCCTCATAAACGAAAACCTGAAAACCACCAAATAACATCAAAAACTGACTTAGACAGATGATACTGTATACAACTGAAGCATGACACAAGGTATTCACCTGCAATAGCTACAAGGATAGTCTTTCTCACGCGTTAAGGATTCTCAAATTCATTAAAGCACAAAACACTACTACACGATTCACGTTTGTTTCCAAGGAGACCTAAAGCACGCACCGATTTGCAACACTCACCTGCTTCAATGATGGATACCTCTGCCACAGCAAAGGTATGGACAAAACTTGACACGGAAAACCCCACTCTATCGGCAGAATGTTTGCTGCACTCATTGTTTGGACATATCTTTTGGCGAGGCAACAAACAACGTACTCTAAATAGGTTTTTTCTCTCGTAGATTGCTTTGCATCTGGTTTCTGTTCACATAAGGAAGGAACCGCAGGCATAGTTAAAAATCATAAAAAAATAAACACTTTACAAATATGATATTTTAAATGGCTTCCTTTCTAGAATTTATAATAAGCAGAAAGATCTCAAATCACTCTATCCGTACGAAGGTACTGGAATTGCTCGAACATGATTATTATGAGTCATACCAACTGGAGTAAAATATAACGGAAGAAATAAAACAACTTGTTTCTCATTAGATGTTCCATGACATCATTTCCCCATAACGAATCGTCGCTTGTCAATAGCAACAGTGTCTCCAACAGAACAGAGGAATCTTGTGAGATAGCAGATGGATGGACATCTTTTAATAGCTCCATTTTCATTGACATGCTGTAAACGCAAAATAAGCTGTAATTAGAGACCATTTATTTGTACAATCTATGGTGATTCTCCAAAGTTGACAAAACTAACACACGTCATTAAAGCTATAACTTCAATAAACAATTGTCATGTATCCATCCTATCAAAATCACTAAATTAAATACATTTCAAGTGTTGCTTCCAAGGTGTTAACTAAAAACGAGTCCCTCCTTACCAATTGATAAACAACGAATGCACACACAAGGATGCCAGGCGCTTTTGCCTGTGACTTGCAAGTGCCAATTCAGAAATAGTACGTTCTACTGTAAACAATTCCGAAATTTTGCCTGCGCAAAGACGATCAAAAGAATTCAATTAGATTCATTATTTTTTGATGTTTGTAGGGATGCACTTAGATATCCACTTTTGCATAAGAAATAAAAGACTAGACAACTATTTAACTATTATTCTCCTTAAACGAGGATAGGCTCTTTGAATGCAGATATATTATATTCTTCATCAAGTTTCTTCCGAACGCAGATACTATTTCCAACTCAACAATCAAGTACAGTGCACAAGTTTCAACATGCTTTCCAGCAAAAGAACTCACTTTGGGAAAGACTTTGCTTCAAAAGCCGACATGCTCCAACAAGGCGCTGCACGTCCCCATCATTCGATGATTGAAAGAAGAAAAAAAGTAGAGAAAGAAATTTGGACGATGGTAAAAATGCATTTCTGGATTTCATACACAGAATAGTTACACGCAGTGTTAGACATAATCCAACAATTAAAGCTATCAAGTTTGAATTAACTACATGCATTGCCAAGTAACAAACACTTGAGAACGGAGTTGATGAAGTTTGCTCGAAGATTATAACACATCAATAATATGTGCCGTTTCAAATACAGATCGCGTTAGTGCCTTCCCTGAAACAACCTTAGAAAGACTCACAACACAAATGAACATATTTTAAACTTTGTACGTGACTTGTTGGTGATTCTTATGAAAATAAATGTACCCTTGATATCTTCAACGGTGTCATGTACGAAAAAGCGATGATTAAAAAAAAGAGATAGGACAAAGATCTCCAAAGAGCAAACAAAAAGATAGTATGATTTATGATTTCGTAACTAAAATTGTGCAAAGTTCTCCAGTGCATAGGTATTAATCCACCTATCAGCCAAATAAGGTGTAGAAATGATAATAAAGCAACCTAAACTTCGGAAGGATCATACCCTTGGATGGAGCTTCGTTCATTGTCGATACAGGAGCAAAAAAACTAAGCATCTTCATACTAACAAATCCAGCTCACCAAAGCTTTAATGAAGCTCGAAACATATAAATTATATATATAAACTAAGGTATGCATATGAAAGTACATTAGATGTATGGGGCATATCTTTTGAAGATTAGAGTAACCCAACAACCACTTTCCATTATAAGGAGCTCGAAAATACACATTTCAGAAAAGGTAATCTCAGAGACTTGGAACTGCTGTGGAGGCCTGGAACACAAGAAATCTTACCTGTCTGCCCTTTCACTGAATTCCCCATAAATAGCACAAAATTCGCTTCGAATTATTGGGCGTACGGCAGCCACCTCTCTCCTTCCCCTTACAAATTTCTGTAAACAATAAAAAGCAAACGAATCTTAAAACATTTCGCGACGGTCGTGAAAACCTCTTGTTTAACCAATAATGTCAGTGCACAAGCGTTAATAACACATTTTTTTAAACTTAAATAGTACATACACTCAAATCGAATTTTTTTGCGATAGCAAGTGATCAATAGTACGTAACTCTTCCCGACTCAGCACCCCCTATGATCGAGTAGTAAATTATAAAAAGCGTCATGCCAGTTCTCAATTCAAATTTTGCAGACTAATATACATTTAGTCTGAGCTGCTTATCAAATGGATCCCAACTGAAATATCGAAATTAGACAACTTACGCATACAAAAATACGTCAAAATCTTCAATCAAAAAACTTGCACCAGAATATTTACGAGTAGAAGAATACGATTCGTTCTCCATACCGAAATGCACCCCGTTAAACCACTACATTCTGATCGAGTTACCATAGAAGAGCTATTCAGCGGAAATAATTGCAGATCATTTGTCTCTAACCTCCAAAATTTCAATTAATTCATTCAGCTCGTTTACATGATTAAACGAGCAGAAAACGTTTCACTACACAGAAATAGTCAAATCCTAACAGTAACGGAATGTTAATTGCCATATCCACTCATGACCTTCCTGCTAAAAGTGCAGAAGTGAGGCTCGGACGCACACAACCGAAACGGCAAGCCAATTTGCACTTGTATTACAGCTACACGCAATATATACCGCAAGTAGAGAACGCTCCGGCAATCGTAATCCACATCAGTTGAAGTGCTCAACCGACGTCAAACACTTCTCTTCGACTTCTCTCGCGAAATTGAACACCGGTAGAGTAGAATAGTGGAACAAACCAGGGAAATTCCGATGTACAGGATAGGGTTTAACAAACACAAGATGCTCTAGCAAACCCTCCAAATCACCTCAAACAAAGCATTAACACCAAAAACCTGCACACAGAGAGAGGGAGAAAGACCTATACACACACACACGAACACGAACACACACCTGTATCTGCTTCGCACTTTGCGTCTGAATCCGCAACCGCTGACGCTGCTCCCGCTCAAGCTTGGTCTGCAGCAACAGCTTTTGCCTGTCCCGCTCCTTCCCGCTCCGGCCGCCCAGATCCACCTTCTTCTTCGACGTGGCATCCCCGGAGAAAAACATCATGCCTGTCAATCTGCCTCGGCCACGGCCCTCTCTCAATCCCTACGTCGTAACCGAACCCGCTCTTGCCACTCCTAATTCCTAAGAACAACATGCGAATCGGGCTAAAGCGACGGCAGCAGCGATACCCGCGAGGACACCGAGCACCCGCAGCAGAGGCTGCGAAATTCAAGAACAGACTACAACACTGATGGCTGGCTCTTAAACCACGGCGGGCACTGGCATCACTGCCTTGCGTTCGAGAGTATGAGGTCCCCCAACCTCTAGCTTTTAGTTATTGGCATTCAGTCTTTCATTCATTCATTCATTCATTCATTCATCCCCCCTTATTGGTCAGAGCTCTGCGTCGAGAGACTTGCAGCACACACTGAGTCAAAAAACACAAAAGAAATACATGTAAAGCACACTCGCGGAGAAGAAAGAAACCAAAAAACAACACTAAATAAATATATGTATACATACAAAACAAAACTAGCTCCCCAACACACACACGCTCCTCCAATTAGCTCTCCCTGATTTAGGGTTGAGTTGGATTCGCTGACAATGTCACCTGACTACATTAAGAAATGAATAATGCATTTTTCTTTCTTCTTCTTCTTTTTGTATGTGTGTATGTGTGTATGTGTAATAATTCCAAAATGGCGTCTCCTCAATGGAGAATGGGGTGAACCCAATGAATGTTTAATGGATGTGGTAACATTATGTGTGATTGTGTTAAGGTGTAGGCAAGTGATGACCAGGAAGTGTGTTTTTGAGGTAGCTAGCAGGTCCATTGAATTGTATCAAGTATAGTGTATTCCAGGCTTTGAACCCAGCATCATGGTTTCTTTAATATTTTCAACTTTAACTTTGCATGCAAGCATCATATATACATTTATTTTGTAAAATTAAAAAGAAACCAAGATTAATTAAAAATTCATTACTCACATAAAAAATTTATGCAAATATGTTTGTTTGTTTTAATTATTTCTTAATGTAGTCAGGTGACATTTCTGGTCTCTTATTTTAATTCTCAAACACAACTATACTTGAACTATTTTTTTTTTTTTTTTTTTTTTTTTTTTTATTATTGACGTGCATCTTGTACACATCTTTGGTATAAATGAACATACCAAAGGAACATACTAAAGGAACATATGGAATTCTAAAATGACATGTGAAACTTATAACAATTTGGCAAATAGATGAAGACATGCACAGACATGCTTTACTTAGAAATACATGTACAAAATTATAGATTCAAAAGTGATGGTGACAAAGGTAAGAAGGGTAGTGTGGCTCCTTTATGAATGCCAATTCTTTTTTCAATTTTTTCCCTACTTGCACAATCAAATGATTTGTTTAAAAATTCAAATAAATGAAATTCACACAGCTTTGTGAGATAATTTAAGGTAATATTTTTCTACTGGTAGTTTCACTTCAAAGATGTTCAGAAGACAAATGCCATTCTAATGAAAAAAATCTTTCAAATCTTCAATAGTATTTTAAAAGGGAGGAACATTTGAAGATGTTGTATAAGCTATGTTCTTCTTTAACTACTATTAGTTTCCAAAAGGAGCAAGTAAATGTTGTGAGTAGTGTAGGTGGTTTAAAAATTCATTGCCATTGGTTTTTACAAATGTGAAAGTCAATGGAGAAAATGATCATGCATAGTGGTGTCCTGATTTGCAATGAATAACAAGAACTAAGATTATGAAATGAGACCAAGTCACACAATTTTTATAAATAGTTATATATGCTTGAGTTTGAAAAACAAAATCAATCAATACCATAACAGAACTCTGAAAATTCCTACTCAGATATTAACACAAGAAAATGAACAGGAGGTTTTTAAATGTATTATTGAATGCTGTTGTTGGGTTCAAAGATCTATACATTATGTTGAACATATTTAAAATATACATGCATGCTTATATACATGTGTGTGTGTGTGTATTTGTACATACATAATTCTTCTGAAATAAGAATTTTAGAGATCTTAACTTAGAAAAGAAGTAACATCATCCATATCAATCCCTTATGCTTGTCAATGTTTTTTTTTAAATAAAATAAAATAAAATAAAAGTTAAATTGAATAATTTTTTATTTTATTTTATTGAATTTAACTTGTATTTACAAAATGATTCAAAGGGATTTTAAATAATTTATACAAACTTCAATGACAAATATTTAGCTATGTTGACAAGTTTTGATGGTTTTGGGTAAAGTTTTAATATGATTAAATAATATACTTAAGATTACACAAAGAGCTTTTCATATATATATATATATAATAAATTATAATATATTAAAAATATTCTCTTTTCTAGATCCTTACTTTGTAAATTTTTGTATGCAATGTTAACATTTGTTTGTATATTAATCAATTAGTGTTTCACTAGAACTTATGTTTAATATGTTTGTTTCCACTTCAAATACAATTTTGGTACTTTAAAAAAACATGAGATCTCTAAACGGTCATTTAAAAGAATTTAAAGACTATTTTTGTTCATTCCACATTACATGTTTTAAAATAGTATTGTAAAAAAACTCATATTTTGAGAATTTTATCAGAATTATTTGAATTTATTCTGAAATGCATTTTATTAATAGGTTTGTGGTAAGATTATATGACATACCTAATAAGCTTTGGTGTAATTAGGTTTTTTAACGAATATATTTTTAATGAACTTTTTGTAGTTTCTTGAAAATGTTATTTTGAACTGCCATTAATCATTTTAATCATTGTAGTGAGTTTTATAAAAATAGAACAATAGTACACCTATAATTCATAAAATTCACATTTTGATGAATCAATTAACCTATGTTTTGATTATCTTTATTTGATGCTATTGAACTAAGCAAATGTAAAACAATTACCCATTCAATGTAAATGACATCAAAATCATGTTAAGAAACCAGACATGGGGGATTTCAAATTCATTCATCCATCCATCCATCTGTTCATTCAAATTGGGTCAAATCTTGAATGTGAAAGCCGATAAGAGTAGACTAATTTAGAATGCCGCCAAATCCTGAATCCCAAGCTGTTGCTTCGTTGATGTTCATGCGGAGTGGAGATTCCATCGCTGTCAGATGTCGACGTGACGATTTCTCAATTTGTAGCTTACCGCGAGGTTTTAAATTCCTTCTGCCGCGCCGGATCCACATTCCCTTGATCGATCGAAAGTGAGTTTTCGTGTTCGACTTTCGGTGCCGCGGTGCTTGGCTGGGTGTGCGACGTGATCGACGTTTCAGTTTTGTTGAGATTGGTGCAGGACAAGAATCGGAGGGGTTAGTTACATCACGTGTTGATAGTGTGGGGTGAATATGTTTCATGAAAGTGTGCGTGATGATCTGGTTGGAAGATCGTAGAATTTCGTTTGCGGGGAATTGGTGGGTTGTGTGTGGACAAGGAGGATGTGTGTTGCGTTGATGTCAATAATTGAGGGCTTGGTACGAATGCGTAGGATGTTTGGTGATGATTCAATGTACTTGAAGAAATTAAAGCTGAATTCTAATGAGCAATGGTGCAGAAATAGCTGTTAGTTTCATATGTGCACGATGCCACGAGCTGTTCTCATCAAGGCCCTGCAACAAAGCTGGAATGCAGTTATACATGTCGGATATGATTGGACCTGCGTTTGCCGCAAATGTACTTTTCATCTTTTTCTAATTGATTTCGGTCATACTTCGACTCTAGGCCCTTCATATGTAAGGAGTGTGATATATTTACTTGAGCCATGTGAAACTGTGTTGGCAGGAGATGCATACAGGGCGAAAGTTTTGGACTCGAGTGTTTTTGGGAAATGTGTCATTTGTGGTGTTGGGCAAGATGTTAAGAGTAATATATATTGTAGCTAAGGATTACTATGGAGGAGCCTGATCATTTACCCCTGGCAAAAGAAGGTACTCTTTCGCATCTGATCATCAAGGCGTCAATCCGTGATGCTGCTAGTGCTGCAGGTTCAGGGTGAGTTATCCTGGTCACCCTTCACGTCGGTTTCTTCATGTGCTCATATTGTCGTTATCATCAATTTATTTCCGATACATATCGGTTCCCGATGTTTTCAAGTATCTGCATTGGTTTTTCGACGATTGCCGATGTCGGTTCAAGTATTTCCGGTGGCTACGTGGTTTCAAGTAACCAAGTGCCTCCAATTGAAATTGCTCTCGGGGAGCAAAATGCGACTTCAGCAGTGTTAAATCTTATAGTATTGGCGGCAGCAGATGAGGTCAAGGAGGAGGTTGAACGGGACTTACCGAATTCATCGTCGGAGATTGAAGATAGAGGTGCTTCGAAGGATAGCATGAAAACAATGGAGGGTCACTAGTAATCTGCTGGAGGCTCTGATGAAGACTCTACTGAATGCTGCAATGGCAATGATACAACAAATGTTAACGTTGCGGATAGGGGTGAAGCTGAAGATTGAGGCATCCAGTGCGACTGAAAAGGGGTACGACGAAGAGGGTGGGTTGGACCCAGATGTCGATGAGTTCTTACAGTTCGAAAACTCCAAGGACGAGGAAGAAACTCCTCCACATCAGGACATTCTAATGTACATGTCTATCATCTAATTAGTTGGTATGTCCTATGAACTGCACAAGCTGTGAGCTGACCACTCAAATTCACGTCTAGAGATCTCATTTCTAAATGCATCGAAGCTCGAAGAAATAGTCTTGATGTATTTTGCGGTTCAGAAGCAGTAGGTTTAGTGTCAACAGTCGCCCGATATGTAATCTTTGTGGAGGTGGTATTAGATTCTTTAAATCACGAATACAGTAGGTGTTTGGTTCACTAGTTCTTCCAATCAGTACCAACTCGACCGGTAGGTTCTCCTCAATAAGCTTATTATGTAGTTCATTCTCAAGCACCTCATAGGAAAGAAGTCACCATTGTTACGCAACCAATACCCATGTATTATATGTGAAAACGCAGTATTTCATGCTAATTTAATCAATTTTTTCACCCCTAGACGTCATCGCATCTCGTTGACAAGATGAATTGCCAAGTCAGGCGTTGCGGGGATCCTTGATCAGGGCTTCAGAAAACGGTTTCCATGGGTAAAGGTTCTATTTCACCTCCGTTGAAGGCACATGGGTAGGGCTAAGGTTTTACAACTATCAGGGAAAGATGAGAGCTGGAAAGATAAAATTGCTCAAACAACAATGGTGGTGGATAGGAAGGGTACCATGCATTTTGGAGAGTCCCAGTCTTCTGATTTTAAGAAAGGAATTGTACCGTTTGCACCATCCAATTGGTCGGAGCGATGGTTGATTCCCATAAGTCTTTGTAAACATTATTCTTGCCGTTATTTGTTTACTGATGATTAGTAAAATGTAGGTTAATTATTTCATAACTTTTTTTTCATCATTTGCACCTGTGCTCACGATTTAAGGCCTCAACCTTGTCCAGTCCTGAGTAACTTATTACAGTGATTGATGGTTGCCCACCATGAACGTGGATTTATATTTTTGTTAACAATCACGACATCATAATCTTCAGTTAAGAAATGTCCAAATGCCTACTTTTCGATCAGCCTTAAGATGAATTGCAATCTCAAATTCAGCATTACAGTATTACTTCTATCCTGTTTATTTATATTCTACTAATATTTTGTAGATAATACTTGTCGGTGTTTGCAGAAATCGATATAGATTCAGATGATACCAGCGTAGGAAATTAGCGATCGTGATTGATAGTCATGGCAAACACTAGGTTGAGAGATCTGCAACCAGACACAAGTCGCTGAAGGATGAGGTTCTTAAAAAACATAAGGTTAGAGATTTGTCAAAAGGTTTAGCAGACACTGCAGTTCCCGATAGCAGAAAGATCCGCTCGCGAAGATTTGAGTTTGACACTATACAGTCTGGGGATTGGTTTGTTTCAAACCCGAAGGCGCGTTGGTCAATTATCTGACAACACGCATATGGATCAAGTTGGCAACACTGACCATGGTATAATCACCGTAGGGTGATTGGATTTTCTAATCCAAAACATTTGAGTATAGAATGCATGTGAATAATGGTTTATCTCAGATATTAAATTTTCAGTTTTCTACAGAAAGGTCAAAAGCTTATAGAGATCTTGTTTTCGTAGGATAATATAAGATTGAATGTCGAGGGAAAAGTAATGGAGGAAGAGACATTCGATCAATGCTGCATGGTAGAGAGCTGGATGAGTAGACAAACCACCGAGAAATTGAGTAACGAACCTGCAAGTTTTTTTTTTTTAAGAACTATATAGACTCACTCTTGAATTGCCGGTTCTGCTTGTTCTGTGTGGAATATTTTTGCGTTGAATCACTAAAAAGTTATTTCTTTTAGCTGCCTGTTGGAATGATATGTAATACTTGTGTACTTGTTAGCTAGAATCTTCTTTCTTCCTCGATAGGCCTTGCAGCGTATTGAAGAGATAAAGTTGGAAGTGACTAACTTCAATCATGTCGATCTTGATATGAGCTCTCTCAAGTATCTATATATATGTGAGCTGTCTCTGGAATTCTGATCTATCTTTCGCCTAACCACATGTGTCATACTCGACTTCACTTGATTATTGAACTTTTGCCCATTGTTTGGGTATGAAGCTTCTACAGCTCGAAGTGAGATCTAGATAAGCTTAAAGAGATTCAAGAGAAGCTCTAACTTGTTTGTTGTGAAAGGTTAACTTTTTTTCGAGGCAACAAAGAATTTGTGATTTGTGGGTTGAAGAGCTCCGTCCTTCAATGGTTGGTTAGATAGGCATTGTTTTGAAATTCCTCTAAGCGCAAATTTTATATATGTCTGATGACTTAAGTCGTCGTTGGTGTGCCTGTTTATTAAAAGAAATAAAGTAGGTATTGGCATCATCTGCACAGTAGGGCATGAGTAGTCCCTTGTTATATCTTTGTGAATCTTACTTTCTCCTTACTCCGAGTGTGAAAGGATTTGGTTATTTGGCTTCTTCTCATGGAGCGTCATTGCAAGGATGTGTGTTGTGGTGGTGACGTTGTTCTTGTTGAAATGTGACCGCCCATGGTACTCTCGTGGATATGTGAAGCTGCCATCTTGCTCTGCTTTTAAAGTACCGCTTATTAATCCATAATGACATGTGCATCATATTTATGAGGGTTTGACACCTTGGAACTTGAATGCATCATATCACAGTTTGTTAGCTTTATGCATACAGTGTTAGAGAAGGTGAACTTGGGTCTTAAAACAGTGCTGATTGGTGTACCAATTAATGTCTTACATAACTAACGAAGTGAATTTCCCAAGTGGCAGCCAGTTCATGAGACTACAGTTACTGCATACGAGCTCGAAGATGTGGCAAGATTGGACCATACACAGCTTATTACACATTTTGAGCTTTCATTGTCTTGATCAGGTAGGAAAGATGCAGAATACTACTCTTGGCTATTAAGCAGCTTTTCAATTTATTTCACCTTTTAAGGCAATTTTATTTCACCAAGCGCTCCTGAAGATCTCCTTGCAGAAATTACTTGAAAAATAAGAAGTAAGCAACAGTCTTTTTTTGCGGAGATGATGTGAATCGAGTCAGGCTGCTCGATAAATGGCAAAGGTGTAATGGAGTGATGCTTATAGGTTATGCAGCCTTTTGCAATTATCAACAAGCAAGGCGGTCAAAGACCAATTTGTGCGAGAATGTGTATGTGCCTCCCCTCGGGTAATTTTGTTACAGCTCGTTCACTTAGCCATCTCGTAGTATGCCCTTCAAGCAATTTATTGGTATTAATTTGATAATGTACTTTCTTGGCAGTCTCTATACTGTAAGGAGGTTCAAAGTGTAATATTTCTGTGCAATTGCAGAACGATTCTACATTTTCTAACGGTGCGTATATTCTTATATACAGTTACAGAGGACCAGCTATCCTTGTATATGACGAGGCACATATGTTAAAAACTCCCAAGGCTGATACTACACAAGCTTGCGGACAAGTGCGAACGTATCGTCGCATTGCTCAGACTGGATCTCCCCTACAAAATACTTACTGCAGTATGACTGCGGAATTATTGCGGAAATATATCAATTTATTCCTTCTTCGTTGATTACTATTTGAAGTTCACTATTTTGAGTGTCTCTTAAAACTGTCACAAATTCTGTCATCCTATGTGGGTGTTAATGTTTATTCCAGGTCAGCTATACATGGATCACACTGGATTTACATTTTGTATGATAATGTGCAAAACTTAGTGTCTCTTACTTTGAGACTTCACATCGAATGTAGATGGTTCACTTAGGGAAGAATTTTTTGGGTCCTGGCTGTAAAAGGTGTTTTTGCCTTGTTTACACCTGTCTAATATTGCAACTTTCTAATATGTTTTGTTCCAGCAAAAGAAGATTCTTCGAACTTAAACTTTCATGGTTCTTTAAACTTAAACTGAACTGATCTATTTTTCTGAAACAGGGGATCAAAAAAGAAATTTAAGATATCCACAAAGTGTTGCTTATGGTTACACCAATCTGGTTGCGTTTCATGTTTTGACGTAATGCTGTGTCCTTTTCTGATCTTTTGGTTTCTTGTGGCTGACATGATCAGATTCCAACACAATATCGAGAACAAACAGCGAGCAGATTCAACATCTAAGGATAAAAAGTTCATGTTTTTCATGAACAGTTGTTGGTTTGCGTGGATCGGAAAACTGAGAGTCTTGAAAGAAGACCTGCTATCGAAATACATGTACGTGAGTTCAGCAAGGTTGTCTCCTTTTCAAAGGTCTTTCTTTTGTACGGTCTTGCAATTAGATGGTTCCCCTAATATCGGAATAATTGAACTGCAGGTCGCCGCAACGATCTCTTTGAAACTTATCATACTTACACAAAAGTATGTGTTCGCTTTGGTAATCATTACCCTTGTGCTATAATCATTATTTTACTAAGTTATGCAGTACTATTGAAATGAGTTAACATAATTGGTAAAGGATTATATGGTTCTTATACTTATTCGACCACATATCTTTCCGAAGTTGTTTCTTTGGTTCTTGTAACTCATGTTTCACAGCAGATATGCTTATCTTGTTAAGTAATGAGGACAATGTCAAGAATTTTATCATGGATGTTGATGATGACGTACCTGAGGTTGTTCATGCTGATCCTGGAGTGTCTGATGGAGTGAAACGTGTAAATGATGACAACGGTGATGATGAAACAGTTATTCAATCCTTGCGCATCCTCGATTTTATTGAGGCTTTCTTGGAAAACATGCCATGTTTGAATTGTTGGAGAGGAAATGGGGAGAAATATTCGTGACTGGTGCAGGTATGTAGGATTATGATTTTCAGCCTACTTTCACAGTTGGATTCATGTTTGCGGTAGCTCAAAGCTGAAAACCTTGTGTGCTAAACCTATGGCTGTCACTTGTGGGTCACGTGTTTTTAACGGCCCGCTTTATTTAGTCTTCTTATGACTTAGTGAATATTTTTTTTCGTCAATGTTTTAGGCTTGACGAGCTCAAATCAGCGAAGTCGCGCCAGGAACTTGTGAATGGGTTGAATGACTCGGACAATACCGACGTTCATCGTGTTCTTACCTTGAATAAGGCAGATTTTTGAAAATAAATCTTCCTGCCGGTAATAGAGTAGTAACTTCTGACGGCAACTGGAATCCAAACCATGGAATTGCAAGCACTTTCTCGAGCATAGAGGTTGTCTTCCTACTCAAACTCGTTGAAGGGATGTCCAATGGAAAAGAAGGCAACTGTGAAATACTGTTTCTTTGACCTTCTGTGATGAAGTTAGCTTGATCTATTGATAGACATCTTTTCAGCTCACATCTGCGTGTGCTGATCACGAGAGATGCTCTTTTAGATTTGGGCAGAAGAAGAACGTTTATAACGACTGATATCTGGCTTCTGTGCGTTGCTTGGTCTGGTTTCAGGTTGCAAAAGGTCTGGCTGCAGGAGTTATTTGACAACCACCAACCAGGAAGATATTTTGTAGAATCTGACCTGGATTGTGATTTGGTGCTCCACAAAGAT